ATATATATATATATATATGTATAATATATATATATATATATGTGAATATTTTTTTTATTTTTAACATCAAACTAACCAATAATAACAGCACACACCAGTGTAGTCTGGGTCGTATTTTCTTTTTGTAGCTTTCCCAGATGCAACCTTGGCATCTGTCTAATTTGGCTAGCTTCATAGGTGACAGAATTTGCATGAAAACAAATATGGGAAGCATTTTCTCTGACCTTTTAAAAGTTGATAATTTGATTTAATTTTCTACACTAATTTCACACAATGAAATGCTAAGTTACATTTTATTATTTGCATTTATAAAGTTTTTACACACTCTTTGCGAACAGAACTGTGACCCATTTCTGGGTCGTGACCCATCAATTGAGAACCACTGATGTCGACTGTCTTCTCGTAAATAGAAAACATATCTATTATTGTACCATTAACACAGCATAGTGCAGCCTCTGCAAATGCATTGCAATTTCTCTGATAGTTGATTAACTTCATCAGCGGTCGCTCGGGTTATTCGCTGCAAATGCAAATGTAATTTAATTGGACAATCTGCTGAGTGCATCTGAGGCTGAGAAGTAGTGAAGCTCACATTACTGCAGGTGCTTTGGCTGACACTTAATCACATTGTTATTTAAATTCGCCATGTCTCATTTAGCAACTACACTGGGAATGCACAAAAGGGTGGCGGACATTCTTCACTTTTTGCACAATACTTGTAAGGACATGTGTAAAACAAGTACACTCCATACTCAATATTACAACAAATAAGATGCACACAACACTGCATTGTGTTTAAATGAACACGTTACACAACATTAACTCATTTTGCAACCCTATTCTCTGACAAAGCTGGATATATTTTGGAACTGACATACTTCTGTTAGTCAGCCAATCAGACACAATTTAAAGGGATAGTTCTCCCCCAAAAATGAAAAATTTGTCATCACTTATTCACCCTCAAATTAAAACATTTATGCATTTCTTTCTTCTGTTGAACATAAAAGAAGATATTTTAAAGAATGTTAGTATCCAAACAGCTGTTGGCAGCCATTGAATACCACAGTAATGTTTTCCATGCTATGGAAGTCAATGGCTACCAGAAATGTTACTTACCAACATTCTTCAAAATATCTCATTTTGCAAACCTGCATGAGTTTTATTGTTCTGTTGAACACAGATTAAGATATTTTGAAGAATGCTGGTAACCAAACAGTTGACGGTAGCCATTGACTTCCATAGTATTTTTTCCATACTGTGGAAGTCAATAGCTACCCAGCAATTACTTGGTTGCAAGCATTCTTCAAATTATCTTCTTTTGCAAACCTGCATGAGTTTCTTTCTTCTGTTGAACACAAAAGAAAATATTTTGAAGAATGTTGGTAACCAAACAGTTGACGGTAGCCATTGACTTCTATAGTATTCCATAGAATTTTCATTTTTGGATTGACTGTCCCTGATTAGTAGGCCTACTTAGTATAATTAGTATGTTAATAAGTATATGCTATTACTCCTAAAAACAGTTCCCAAAAATGACTAACAGCTAACAAAATGCCCCATATTCTCAAAACTGTAAAGTATACCTAAGAGCGGAGCGTTGTTCTTGGCTAGTAATCCTATCTCCCAGGCCGTTTCAAGATCAGCATTCATGAATGCGTAATAAATTTGAAAAGCAAATAATTGGCATTGCTGCAGAGTGGGGGAAGGGAGGGAGGCCGGTGGCAAGTTGGAAAGAGGACAGGGCTCTGATCAACTGAACAAACAGTGCATTAAGACTAATGCTTTTCCTCAATAACACCTCGTTACATTGTGTAAACACCATGTTTTCAAGGTCGATGCTGGCAACGGTGTATGTTTCCACCAAATATTGATAATAATTCAGCAAAGTAACCTTGACATTTCGACAGGGCTTCACACAGAACCTGTTGATTATTTTGAAAAGGCTATTTGATCCTCCACTCCACGGGGGGAGGACAGTAGAACAGTAGAGGTTCACACACAGCAGATTGTCTTTTTGTATTTGGGATCGGTGATTACATGAGCAGTGCAAGATAAAACAGGTACAGACCTTGTTACATTACCCATGTAAGACCGCAGCTGTGCTGCTTTGTTAAAATAGCAGTTGCAACACAATTGCTATTGAGCACAATGGATGGGAAAGCTTTACACACTGTCATGTAGACACTGTTTTATCAAAACATGCTTTATGTGTAGTCAAAAATAATATTAGTTCTGTAGCAACAGCAATAAGTTATATATGAGATAAAGTGATCATTTGTATAACCAACAGTTTTCACCAATATTCACAATGTACTATTGTTATCTTATTTTAAATAGTTATCAGTTAATATCAGAAATAGAAAAACTATAAATAAACAATCTGTATTTAACAGAAAATGACTGTTCATGAACTGTTTTTATTGTGTTGTTTGCATAAATTATTTGCATGACGTTTGCAATGCATGACATTTAGTTCGCTTGCTATATATATATATAAGAAATTATTATTATTATTATTATTACTACATTACAATCATTTTACTGATGTAGCATAATAATTGTTTTGTTTTCATATTAAAAATTAGCCACTGGACATACAAAAACATGAAAATAATCATTATCCTTAAAAAAAAACTATCTGTAATATTTATGACTTTAATGCTCAGGTAAAAATAGTTATAAAAATGCAGTTACACTTTTTACTGAGTACCCTGAAATATCACATATTATTATTATTATTATTATTATTTAGTTATCATTGTATTAAAATTAAAGTCAATAAATATATTAACCACTGGACACATCAAAACACATAATAATCGTCATCATCAGTAAAAACCATCTGTAATATTTATGAATGACTCATCCGGACTACATTAGCTTCCACAAGCAAAAATCATTTTTAATGGTCAGCTCAGTTAGAAATAGCTATATAAATACAGTACACTTTTTACAGAGCATCCTACAGATATCACGTTATTATTATTTTTTTTTTATTATTATTACATAGTATTATCAGACGTAATAATATGTTAATAATATATCACTTTAATATAATAATTCATTACAAAGTAATTACAATCAGTTCTAGGTGTTATTCATATCATTGAAACCTTGCTTACGTAAATGCACAGCAGCATAAACAAACACTGTATTGTAAAGGAACAATGTGTCAGTACCTCAAAGGGTTAAATCCCCAGAAACAACATTTTTCTGTCGGGCAAACACACCTCAGCTTATGTGGAATGAGGCTGTAGCACTTTGACATAATAACCTTCATAAATCTCACTCGCTGCTTGATCAGCGCGCCGTTATTTGTTATTGATATTAGTTCGCATCGCACTCTTCAAACGTCTGCCTTCCACATTCGCCAGCATAAGCCGTAGCCTATATCATTAGCGCCGATCAGCAACAGCACACTTCACATCGATCGTTCTATCGCTCTATTTATTTGCCTCGATCATACGCGGCTCATCAGAAGCAACACTATTTTATCAGCAATCAAATTCAGTCAGCAGCTTCAGTCGTCTTTGCTGTTCTCAGTTTCCGCACTATTGTATATCAGATGAAACAAGCGAAACACTGATGTGACAACTTCACACAATGGCACCATTCTCATCATCGCACGCTGTTTGAAATGCAAGCGCTAAACGCTCGTATGCAAATGAGCCGAGGCGAAATTAACACGAGGGTCCACTATGACTGCATGTCTATAATTAAACGCGTTATGCATTAGATGTCTTGTGATCATTAATAGATGCGATGCAAAGCCACGCACGGCTCATATTTCATCCACACCACAATAAACACATCGCGGAGGGACATGGGAAGCAGGAAAACGAGAAATTACCTCTCCGTGAGTGACATTTCTGTCCTGGGGGGTATCTTCTGGAAGAAAATAAAGTTTGGAGCTGGATAGAAGTTGCTTGGTTGTCCTTTCCTCCCATACGAGTTGTAGCTCTGCTATGCAGATGGGGTCCCCTGCTTTACATCTGACCAAGAAAAAATCACCCAGGGACAAAATTCTCGCTTTGCCTTCAAGGTGAAATCTAAACGCCTTGTAGAAAATGTAAGGTCCGTGCAAACCACAAGGTGAGCCTACCCACTGCGGAAACACAAATAGACATGCCATATTTATATTCGGCAGCACAATTTTATATAACATAGCGACGCATTCCAGCTGATCACATGATAAATCACATTAGATAGAAATATGAATAATAAAATATTAACTTTTGCGGTAAAGTTTCCTCCATTGATTTCTTATCGTAACATATGACTAGATGCGCGCGCGCAATAAATTCATTAGGAGTGGATGATATTACCAGAAGTGAGTTGGGCTCCATCTCGTCGCTCTGAATTGATTAAACTCAAACATTCTCTCCAAACTTGTTGGCTTGAATGGATCACCACAGGTCCTGGAAGAGCAAAATATCAACGCGCTCATCAACGCGACGACCTTCAATATGAAACCGACACGGTGCGAAATCAACTCACTTAAAATGTCCGCAATTGATGTCTAATATTTGTTCAACCCATAGTATTTCATTCACGCTCATTTTGCTACATTTTAGACCACCGCGTGTTCATATTAAATTCGTGAATGCGAATCGAGTCTCGTTCGTGTGAGGTCTCTCAGCCCCTCGAAGTCGTTTTACAAAATCCCACCACCTCTTTCGACAAAACCTGGCAGTGATAATTTAAAAGCTGTAAAGTATAAACACGGATTATAGATTAAACGATTTTTTAGACGTAAAACAAACGGCTGTGTTTGATAATATGCGCGATTATTGTTGCATGTGTCTGTCAGGACCCGTGTAAAGGAGGTTTGTATGAGTGTACCGAAACATTTCCTGCAGAGATTCTTCCTTTCATTGCTCGAATGCGTTTACTGTATAATCATTTAATATATAATAATTATACTAATGCGGCCACATTACCGCGCGTGAGGGAGGCTGGATATGGGATCGGGATTGTTACAATCCAGAAGCGCCTTTTATGATCGCAAACGCTGTTGAAATGTATCAAGCGCGTGTAAACGCGACTAATGGAAACATTGTAATATCGTCCTTTGAATTGTTGCCATTATGGCCGCTGTGATTTGAACACGGTCCTTGCTAGTGCTAAAAACAAACAAAACAATAAGACGCCCCTGTCGTGTGCTTTAGGCGAATAAATGGCATGGTAAGAAACGCGTTTGTTTGCTGAGAGAAATCAAACGTCTTACAAAGCGAGCAGACTCTTGATGGAGCGCTTAGTCCATGCTAATGTTGCTTTTTTTTATTATAAAAAATTAAAGTCGCGGGGCTGATTTTAAGGAACAATTTGATATTGCTATCGAGCTTTCACACGGTGAATAACGAATATAAACTAGATCTGTCACACAAATAACCTGATAAATATTTATAAACCTTAATATGCGTGCTGCATATTTTACGCATATATCGATGCCAGTGAGGTTTTGCTTATATAGTTATTTGCTGTATTTCGTAATGTATGGCTGTGCCCTTAAAGTTGTAGCATATGGCCTAAATTACAGGATGTAACATTTACGTCAGCTATTTTTATGTCTTATGCAATGTTTTATCTCCAGTCACGAGGGGCAGCTGGTGATTATGGATGTGATGCTTCATATAACAGCTTAACCCAAATGAACTGAGCAGACTTGAATGTGATTTGGTACATTTGAATCATAAGACATTATTTTGTTTTGGGGGCGGGGGTTATTATTTAGAAGAACTGGGTGAAACTATGCATAGAATATATAGGTGCCAAGAATTTAGATGAAATTTTAATGTATGGCCACGCAAATAGTTGATAATTTTTGTAAAATAATTAAATCTAAATATTATTATTATCATTAACAATAATAATAGCAATAACTAATAAATATGATTAAAATACATTAATAATAAATAATTAATTGTACATAATTAATAAATAAACACATTAATAATTATTATGATTAACAATAATAATAGCAATAACTAATAAATATGATTACAAATACATTAATAATAAATAATTAATTGTACATAATTAAGAAATAAACACATTAATAATTATTATTAACAATAATAATAGCAATAACTAATAAATATGATTACAAATACATTAATAATAAATAATTAATTGTACATAATTAAGAAATAAACACATTAATAATTATTATTAACAATAATAATAGCAATAACTAATAAATATGATTACAAATACATTAATAATAAATAATTAATTGTATATAATTAAGAAATAAACATTAATAATTATTATTATTAACAATAATAATAGCAATAACTAATAAATATGATTAAAATACATTAATAATAAATAATTGTACATAATTAATAAATAAACACATTAATAATTATTATTATTAACAATAATAATAGCAATAACTAATAAATATGATTACAAATACATTAATAATAAATAATTAATTGTGCATAATTAAGCAATAAACACAATAATTAATTAACGTGTGTGTGTGTGTGTGTATATATATTATATGAAAATATTGCTGGTTATATATTTATTTAATTATTTATTATTTTCTTGTACATTATTTAGGCTTTCTAATAAGTTTTAATTTTATAGATAGATAGATAGATAGATAGATAATATAATGCTGAGCATATCATAAATGTGTTTAAAAATATGAACTTTAAATAATGATCTATTAGGTATTGTGTAATGCAATAATATTTGGTCCTTTTATTAATGAAAATGATAATAAAGCTTATATAATACGTGGATAAGAAATAAGTAAATAAATAAATATATAACCTGCGCCTGCAATATTATACATTCAAATTTGATCTGTTAAGCATTATGTAATGCAATGATATTTGGTTGCTGAATATGAATGTGTATATGTATATTATAGTAATCTTATTGTAATCTTAAGAATGAATCAAAGTTTCATGACAATTACTCAATCTGTTAATCATTATATATTTGTGCATTTTCGTAATTAAGGTTATTTTAAATGTTATCAACATCTTGAGTACAATACTGGTCGTCAGCCAGCATTGAAGTCATTCTGCTCTGCAGATTTTATTGCAGCAGTGTGATATTATGTGACCGTCCTTGTGATTGGAGGAGGGCGGCGCTGTAAACGTCATGTCAGCCTATGATTAAACTCCTTTATTTGAGACAGTGAGCGGTAATAGCAAGTGCATTCAAGCACACCATCAATCATCCCACTATACTGTGACACACATTGACATGAGAGGCGAATGCACTCAATGTGCTGCTTTGCTTGTCAATGAATTTTTGCATGACTATGCGCTCTTCAGCACTCCATTAATCCCCATATTTGTTTTCAGAACAATGTGACACAAAATGTACTTCATTTTCAGTTCTTCCGAGCTACATTTGAATACAACTGACAAGTTAGAAACCTTGCCATTCACTCACTCCAAAATGCACTAGTGTTCTTCTGAGTAAATTGCCTGTAATTATATATTATCCTCTTTGGTTTCAGAACCTGTTTTGAATTAGAAGCTGAGTGATTTCCGAGGATCGCTCCGAGGCATTGAAATGCTGTTCACCTTACTTTCAGTAATTTGCCTTGTGGGCAGCAAAAACAGCATCAGCACTTTTTTTTCTCTCCCTTTAGAGATAACATAAATTAATGACAAATTGCTACAAACTCAAGACTGCTGCCAGTGGCAGAAATCACACACTGCAACCGCTTCCCGAAAAGAGCAGAGCAGACACAGATTGAGCTTATCTAACTCATAAATAGAGATACTGTGCATTTACTGAAAAAATATAACGTTTATAGTTTAGTATGTACAGAATTATGATGCATCATTCGAAATGCCAGATATTTGTTATAATGTAATCTGAAATAATTTTGAATTACAAATGTAAAACACTAATCATATACAGTATACTATACACAGTATAAATAGTATAACATTTTAAATAAAAACAAATTATATATACAGTGTATATATATATATATATATATATATATAATAATTAATCATATGTTCTATATATTATAGTATACTATACACACAGTATTTTATAATAAATTATTTTTATAAATAAAATAAAATAAAAACGTACATAGTATATAGTATTTTTTATATAAAAATAGAAATATAATAATCATAAATGTTAAGGGGTCAGATGAAATATCAAAATTAAGATGAGCAAAGCAATTCAATAAATATGTTGATGTAAGATGAAGTTCCATCTACATTAAGAAGAAAATAATAGGGGAGGGTTTCATCTTACCCCAGAGTGTATCTTGCCCAATCTTCCTTTACTACATTTCACGATTAATTAATGGTAATAAAGGTGACATTTTAAAGTGCAAGAGTTTTTCAATATTGTCTGCTTTTATGTTACTTCCAAATAATGCAATGCAACACATATTTTCATGTTAAAATGTAATAAAATAAATGAAAGAAACACATCTACAAACATCTTCGGTCATGATAAGATTACCTAAATAGAGCTGCCATTGAATTTTTTTATTTTCTAGTTTTGCACTCATATTTTTTTCCCTCAACAACAGCATACCGTTATAGAAAGACAGCCATCAAGTGTACTGCAACCTGCTGGCTTGAAAACAGATGAGCATATGTTTAAAGCAAATGTGTCGAGTGACGTGCAGGAATATCAAAGACTAAAATGATCACCAAACTAACCAGTTCATATTATTCATGCTGTTTATTTATTCAGAATATCTCTAATATCTCATTGCACCAATTTTCAGTTAAAGGGAATGCTTATCAATCATTTTTACAGGTCCATCTGCTCTCTCTCTCGTTCAGATGAATAGACGCAGAGCAGTAAATATGATGATATATGAAACTGGCAGAGATGATGACACCAGCCAGACAAAGCAACATATGAGTTCCCACCTAAAAATAGCAAATATTGCTGCGTTCTTCCAACACCTCTCGCTCCTATTTAAACAGTGTTAAGACAGTAAACTAAATAATGTAATCTTGACTGACTGCTTCACGTCCACTTTAAAGGGATATTTGCGTTGTTTATTATTTATTTTTATTTATACTATTTATAATTTTTGTGCAATTACTTGCCTGTCAGTTGAGTTTGTGGCAAAACATTTCGTGTCTCGTCTCGTGAACCCAGTCTCGTGTCTCGTCTCGTGAACCCAGTCTCGTGTCTCGTCTCGTGAACCCAGTCTCGTGTCTCGTCTCGTGAACCCAGTCTCGTGTCTCGTCTCGTGAACCCAGTCTCGTGTCTCGTCTCGTGAACCCAGTCTCGTGTCTCGTCTCGTGGGATAAGTGTCTCGTCACACCCCTAGTATTTGAGTTCTCCTACTCTGAGATAACATTTATCAACTAAATGGGTATCTCATTTTTACGG